AATAAAACTAGTGAAGTCATTAGGTTAAAACAAAACTAGTGAAGTCATTAGGTTAAAATAAAACTAGTGAAGTCATTAGGTTAAAATAAAACTAGTGAAGTCATTAGGTTAAAATAAAACCAGGAGGTCTTTAGGTTAAAATAAAACTAGTGAAGTCATTTGGTTAAAATAAAACAAGTGAAGTCATTTGGTTAGAATAAAACAAGTGAAGTCATTTGGTTAGAATAAAACAAGTGAAGTCATTTGGTTAAAATAAAACTAGTGAAGTCATTTGGTTAAAATAAAACTAGTGAAGTCATTTGGTTAAAATAAAACTAGTGTAGTAATTAGGTTAAAATAAAACTAGTGACGTCATTAGTTTAAAATAAAACTAGTTAAGTCATTAGGTTAAAATAAAACTAGTGAAGTCATTTAGTTAAAATAAAACTAGTTAAGTCATTTGGTTAAAATAAAACTAGTGAAGTCATTTAGTTAAAATAAAACTAGTGAAGTCATTTGGTTAAAATAAAACTAGTGAAGTCATTTGGTTAAAATAAAACTAGTGAAGTCATTTAGTTAAAATAAAACTAGTGAAGTCATTAGGTTAAAATAAAACTAGTGAAGTCATTAGGTTAAAATAAAACAAGTGAAGTCATTTGGTTAAAATAAAACTAGTGAAATCATTAGGTTAAATTAAAACTAGTGTAGTAATTAGGTTAAAATAAAACTAGTGACGTCATTAGTTTAAAATAAAACTAGTGAAGTCATTAGTTTAAAATAAAACTAGTGAAGTCATTAGGTTAAAATAAAACTAGTGAAGTCATTAGGTTAAAATAAAACAAGTGAAGTCATTAGGTTAAAATAAAACTATTGAAGTCATTAGGTTAAAATAAAGCAAGTGAAGTCATTTAGTTAAAATAAAACTAGTGAAGTCATTTGGTTAAAAAAAAACTAGTGAAGTCATAAGGTTAAAAAAACTAGTGAAGTCATAAGGTTAAATAAAACTAGTGAAGTCATTTGGTTAAAATAAAACTAGTAAAGACATTAGGCTGAAATAAATCTAGTGAAGTCATTAGGCTAAAATAAAAATAGTGAAGTCATTTGGTTAAAAAAACTAGTGAAGTCATTAGGTTAGAATAAAACTAGTGAAGTCATTTGGTCAAAATAAAACTAGTGAAGTCATTAGGTTAAAATAAAACTAGTGAAGTCATTAGGTTAAAATAAAACTAGTAAAGTCATTAGGTTAAAATAAAACAAGTGAAGTCATTTAGTTAAAATAAAACTAGTGAAGTCATTAGGGTAAAATAAAACTAGTGAAGTCATTAGGTTAAAATAAAACTAGTGAAGTCATTAGGTTAAAATAAAACTAGTGAAGTCATTAGGTTAAAATAAAACTAGTGAAATCATTAGGTTAAATTAAAACTAGTGAAGTCATTAGGTTAAAATAAAACTAGTGTAGTAATTAGGTTAAAATAAAACTAGTGACGTCATTAGTTTAAAATAAAACTAGTGAAGTCATTAGTTTAAAATAAAACTAGTGAAGTCATTAGGTTAAAAAAACTAGTGAAGTCATAAGGTTAAATAAAACTAATGAAGTCATTTGGTTAAAATAAAACTAGTAAAGATATTAGGCTGAAATAAATCTAGTGAAGACATTAGGCTAAAATAAAAATAGTGAAGTCATTTGGTTAAAAAAACTAGTGAAGTCATTAGGTTAGAATAAAACTAGTGAAGTCATTAGGTTAAAGTAAAACTAGTGTAGTCATCCGTTTAAAATAAAACTAGTGAAGTCAATAGGTTAAAATAAAACTAGTGAAGTCATAAGGTTAAATAAAACTAGTGAAGTCATTTGGTTAAAATAAAACTAGTGAAGTCATAAGGATAAAAAAAACTAGTGAAGTCATTAGGTTAAAATAAAACTAGTGAAGTCATAAGGATAAAAAAAACTAGTGAAGTCATTATGCTAAAAAAAAACTAGTGAAGTCATTAGGTTGAAATAAAACTAGTGAAGTCATTAGGTTAAAATAAAACTAGTGAAGTCATTAGGTTAAAATAAAACTAGTGAAGTCATTAGGTTAAAATAAAACTAGTGAAGTCATTAGGTTACAATAAAACTAGTGACGTCATTAGTTTAAAATAAAACAAGTGAAGTCATTTGGTTAAAATAAAACTAGTGAAGTCATAAGGATAAAAAAAACTAGTGAAGTCATAAGGTTAAAAAAACGAGGTTAAATGCTCCATATTGATATATAATGTATATAATTGTTATAATTATGTGTTTTATATGTTATATATAATTATTGCTTTAGTTTTAGTTCTCGATATTCGAAACGTAAAATACTACATCGAAAATATGACATGATCCAATACCGTGCGTTTAAATTCAACTCCAGAGAAGTGCCTTAAGTTGTCCATAGAAATCTGACACACTATTTTAAATGATAGGACCAAATAATTGGATAGAGCTGTGATTCAGCAGAAGTTCTGCCAATCTCTATTTGCAGCTGAAAAGAAGCATTATCAGCTTGTAAAGCAATTATTGCTGTACCAGCTGATAGATCTGAATGTTATCCTAAATTTTCTAGTGCAAGCAGAGATAGAGCACTATCAGCTTGTAAAGATAAATATTCTGTTCTCTTTGAATCATTGTCAATCATTTTCGATGTATTATTTTCCTTCGACGAACATTTCCCGGTACTAGGTACTCACAGAGTGTTTCACAAAATATTCCAATGAATCCAGGTGCGCATATACAGCCATATGTCGTGCTGGTAGTTTCTACACATGTGGCGCCATTTTGACACTGATTGGAATTGCAGGGCGATGTGTTAACAGCTAAAAATATTTCAAACTCAATTCAGAAACGATTTAACAGATGCTTAATATATCTTTATAGATAACGAAACACAATTTCATGATATACTTTTCTTGATGTTTATTGTACACAACGTTTCAACAATTTACATTGTTTCATACACTCTCACTCAAGTCTAATTAATCACTATCTTTAATTTCAAATCCATATTAACTTTCTTCATATTTTCCCATTTTTTAACATGATGACAATGTAAATTAGTGAAATACTCCCCACAATTACACTCAAGGGCAGTATACCATAAAATTGTGTTTCGTTATTTAATGTGATCTCTACAACTAAATGTTTCTCTGTTCAATATATGGTTGTAATCATCATGCTTATTACTCTGAAACACTTGGTGCCACTCTGCGACTTGGTTGGTCCAATGAGAAGCCTTTCGTAGAATCAACAAAATAATAATATGATTCTGTGTCATAAACAAATCCAGCCAATGGCTGTGTTCAATTAATGCTTTGTCAGTTGAGACATTATTGTCAAAGAAAATTTTTTGACGCAAAATTCAAAGTAGTGTCATCGCAGAGTAGCATCAAGTGTCAGGGATTGCAAACCCTGTTATTCTGAAATGATTATTATATCAACCCACAACCTGGCTGGACATCGACAAAACTCAATTCAACTTATATCTGAACTATTTTGACATTTTTCTATTATATTATCAAAATATTTTGAGTAGAAATCTGATAAAAATGCAAACCATGATGTTTTGAAAGGTGTATTTTCTGACTGACATACAGAAAACAAAAATGAAACTAAACCTATGAAACATTGCGAGTTCAAAATTTAAACTGTCTAGCCAAGTTTTATTATATAGTTCAGCTGTCTTTGGTTAGATAAGGAATAAGAATAAATTAATTTTGAATACCGAATTCATTATTTCCAAATCATTTCTTAAAAACTTCATTTAAACTGTAGAGTTTTTGTGAAACATTCCTTTTCTAACCAATAGCAAACCAGAAGCGAATTCCCACTTTTGATAAATGTATTATACGATATTGCGATATTGTCTGGTCTTATCCTTAGTAATAGTGTGTGCCTGGTGTTCCAGGGGTTGTTAAGTAACTTGTTGATTTGAATTATATTGCTAAGAGATATTTTAACATACGAGGCGATACTGATGTTATTATAAGAATACAGAGAACGTCTAAAAATTCAAATTTATTTTTCCTTTCTTATCATAATCGAGTTATTCTTAGCTGATTTCAGAACATACGTGTTTCACAAATTGTTCCCGTGAAAGGTAGTGGACAGCGACAGTTAAAACCAATCTCTTGTCCGAAGTTATTTCTGGTTGGTATACAGGCTCCATCGTTCAGACACGGTCTTCCTATACTGTCACACAAAACAGCTTCATGGTGAAAATAAAACATATATAAAGCAAATATATAAAGCTACCAACATGCAAATAAATATGACCCTCATACAGGCTTGTGGATGTCACAAATTGATATTATTTAGATATTCGCAGCATGCCTATTTCTATATATCGTTACATAGAATGAGAACAGCTTTCATCAAATAGACATAGTCATTACCAATAAATAAAATAAATTTGCAATAAATATTTCTAATGAATTTATAAATTCAAATTGTGACCCCATACTAAACCTGTTTTAATAACAAAAAAAATCATACATAAATATACGACGATAGATGAGTGATTAAGCGTTTTGCAAAATGTCCAATAATATATACATAATGCAACCGAAGCTTTTTAATTTTCCCTCAAATATCAAGAAGAATCATTAATTAAATCAACACAATTAAACAATCATTATAACAATATCAATATTTCATTTTATATCTAACATGAAGATACATGATGAAATTATATTAAATACGTTTTGAGGAAAACTCGCATAGAAAGTTTTCCAATCTTATCAAAATTAGACCAAACTTTCGATCCGTTTTATATTAGCTTTTATTTTTAATCAAGTCACTTCAGTTCGGGTCTAAAGACGGCCTTCCTGTGATTAAATTAAAAATAAAAGCTAACAATAAAAAACGGTTAAATCAGACTTAAAGTTTTCATCTTTCAATTTACGTCATTCGAAATTTAGATTCTTCTTGACATCTTTTAAAAACAAAATTGAAAGTAAATGATAAATAATAAACTTATATACAGTCGAATAAAATAAAAACTCACGTGTTTCACAGAAATTTCCAGTATGGGTTACCGGACAGTTACATCTAAATGTGGACCCTACAACCTGGCAATTTCCTCCATTTTGACAATTTACTCCATTACAGGCATTAGGTGAGTCTGCAATAAATATATCGAATACTTCTGTTCTTTCCTTAGCGGACATTGAAGACTGCATGTAAAGTGTATTGAGCTGAAATCTCATTTAAAATATGACCAGCTACTTGACTGGATTGAGTTTCTCGAACTGATTTAATTTACACGTGCATCGTTTGCCCTAATTTACAGATATAGATAATAATAATACTAATAATGTGTATATTTATATAGCGCTACACTCCACACAAAAATGTGCTCATGGCGCTTACAGATACATACTTTGACAAAATTCTCCTCTAAATCCACCCGGACATTCACATATAGCTAATATGTCGGTGAGTTTGATACATTTTCCACCGTTTTGACAGTTGATTGCGGAACAGGGATCAGAATTATCTACAGCTATTGAATATACAGGTTAAAATATTGAATATATTGGTTAGAATATTGAATATACAGGTTAGAATATTGAATATATGGGGTTAAAATATTGAATATATATAGGTTAAAATATTGAATATATATAGGTTAAAATATTGAATATATAAGTTATAAAGATAGAGAATACATACAACAGTTATATTTTTATATATATAAGAGTATAATATAATGAATATATATGAGCATAATATCAGTTAAAATATCTAATTATTAGGGTTAAATGCAATGCCTTTACGTAGTGGCGATTCATATCTATACGGACAATTCCTTTTTTCAGGAAGGTGGCGTCCCTTCCCCCCTCAACAAGGGGTATAAAATACTTCAATCTAGTAGTGTTATTACATACTTTGACACAACTCTCCACTGAATCCAGTGGGACATTCACAGATTGAGGTGTTGGCAGATATGACGATACATTTACCACCGTTTTCACAGTTATCAGGTTCACAAGGGTCGGAATTGTCTACGGATATAAGATATTAAAGACGTTAGTATTTATCTCCAAGAATTAGGAACTCTCATTTTATATTTGGACAGCAATTTGTAATGTGACACAGGTGGCTTGTTCAGTTATATAAGAATTAAAACTAAAAATAACGTAGAAACGTTGAATTTTGTATATCATTGATATAATTTAATGGTTATGTGTGTTTTGTGTGAGCCAATTTCTGTCAAAGCCATATAAAATGAAAGATTCATCCTTGCATGCAATAAGTATATTATAAATTATATTTATCTTTTACGACACAAGAAAACAGAATTTAAAAGTCCAATTTAAAAGAATTGTAAGGAGGTTTTCTAAACTCTTTGTGTATTGGGGACACTCATCGATTGTTTTCTTTTTACTGATTACCGCTTGCGTTCTCTTGACTCGTGTGTCGTTAAGATAAATACAGATATATAGGTTTATATAATAATCAAGCCTTAATTTGTTATAAGCTGTAATGATCCTTCAACGATATTTAGGTGAAACCAGCGTGGACAGAGATATCAGCACCCGCTGGAAGCGAACGTTAACTTGTCATCTACCAACCAACCAATCAACCAAGGACAGAGATTATGCAGAACAATCTGCTTAAAGTCCTTTCTCTTAGTGCAAACAATTTTCTTTGGAGATTGCTAAGGTTAAAAATTTGACTTTATATAATATACCCAAGAACTTCTTTAGAGAAAATTATTCATTTAGTGTTATTTTTTGAAAAACTTAATATTCATATACTAGGCCTAACTAAATATCGTTGATGGACCATAATTATAATTAATTGGATTATATAATATATATCTTTATAGTGGCTATAGAAATTGTAAAATAAAAAGCAATTCGGTGGAACTAAAACTGTCACATAACGTTTGATTTGTATTTGAATACACTGCAATCCCGTCGTCAGGATGAATTGGTGCTGGGGCTCAGATTTTGTACTCAGCAAATTTGAAGAATTAAAAGCCCAGAGAACTCTTTTCTAACAATTTGGAGGTGCCAAAAACATATCAAAATGTATATCTTTTTGATTTTGTACAAAGACACTGTAAATGAATCATCTTTGATGAAATGAAGAAGATTTTGCTGGGGCTTAATTATCAGTTGCTGGGGCCCAGCCCCAATGGACCCCACCCTAACGAAGGGACTGTTACACTGTAAGCTATAAACTAGAAGACAACCATGCCAATCTAAACAAGCAATAAATTAAGATTTACTTACTTTGACAGAAGGTTCCTGTAAAACCAGCTTGACACACACACTGGGCAGTATCGGGATTACAAAAACCATTGTTTAGACAATTTACTCCTTGACAACGATTGGACTGAACTGAAATGAAGAGATATATACAATTTATTCAGAAGAAAGCAGGTATTACACAATTGTCTCATTCTAAACCAACCCAACAGAGTCACAGTGAAAAATCAAACCTACCATTACATAAATCACCACTGAATCCAGTAAAACAATCACATCTAAAACCTGTTAGTCTTGTCACATCTTCTACACAATTACCACTCACACATTGACTACTGAAACATGGCGAGGCTGAAATAAGGGGAGATAATGATTCAATTCATGTAGAAAAAATAAATTATTTAACAATAATACTATAAATTAACAGAAAACAAAAAATAGATTTCAAAATATTCTTACTAAGATATAAGGAGAAAAACTCGTTCACATTTTTACGATCCATTGACTCATTACAAACTTACTTTGATATTGACAAACTTACTTTGACATTGGCAAACTTACTTTGACATTGACAAACTTACTTTGATATTGACAAACTTACTTTGACATTGACAAACTTACTTTGACATTGACAAACTTACTTTGACATTGGCAAACTTACTTTGACATTGACAAACTTACTTTGATATTGACAAACTTACTTTGACATTGGCAAACTTACTTTGACATTGGCAAACTTACTTTGACAGTTTTCTCCCGAGTATCCATTTCTACAGGAACATCTATAACCTTGTTGGCTAGAAGGAAGTTCTGTACAGTCTCCATTATTTAAACATGGACTGAATGAACATCTTAATACTGAAATAAAGTTTTTTGATCTTTTATTTCAAAATATCAAGACTCATTCGTCATGAATTCTTGATGCCACTCTGAGACATGGTTTCTGTGTTTTGAGTATATTTGAATACAATGGGTTTCTATATGGTTCCCAATGTACATGACATGTCATGGTTATTTAGTTCAGTCTCACCATGCTGTTTCAGGCCACATTTCATGTCTAGACATTATGCCAGTTCGTCATAAACAAAACATACCTCGACGTCTACATATACAGCGAAAAATAACACTCACTAATAGTGGGTCCTAATCGTTAATCAGATATTAAAATGTAATCGCCAGGTCAAATAAATAAAACACATCAGTTAAATAAAAAAGCAAGTCTCCAGGTGGGAAGATGGGAATATCAAGTTATAACATTGCTGTTAAGTAATGTAACCATGGTACAGGCATCCAGGGGGAGTTAGTGATGTCCTGATTGTGAACAATTTGATATACTTACAGGTTTCACAGTTAGTTCCAGTATATTGTGCATTACACTGACATTGGTAGGTAGATCCTGAAGCAATACAGTTTCCTCCAAATCCACATGGATTATTAACACAGGGATCAGCTCGAACTGAAAAATATTCGTTATAAGATGAACATATAAATTCCATATTCGTAATTTCTATCTATCCCCCTCCCTCCCACTTTCTTCCATTAGATTAACCTGCTCACTGTTTGTACAATCAATTCGAAGATGCTGGTACCACCAATGGTGTCCGGATGTGGGACAGACAAAGAGGTAAATTTGCCTATCGGAACTGCTCTGGCAGCTTATTGTTTTTTTTATGTCGACACCAAATATTGGGACATCTTATAAAAAAAGAACAAAGAGAAAGGGCAAGAGAACCTACCATTGCATAAATCACCACTGAATCCAGCAAAACAATCACATCTAAAACCTGTTAATCTTGTCACATCTTCTACACAATTACCACTCACACATTGACTACTGAAACATGGCGAGGCTGAAATAAGGGGAGATAATGATTCAATTCATGTAAAAAATAAACTATTTAAAAATAATACTATAAATTAACAGAAAACAAAAAATAGATTTCAAAATATTCTTACTAAGATATAAGGAGAAAAACTCGTACACATTTTTACGATCCATTGACTCATTACAAACTTACTTTGATATTGACAAACTTACTTTGACATTGGCAAACTTACTTTGACATTGACAAACTTACTTTGACATTGACAAACTTACTTTAACATAGAAAAACTTACTTTGACATTGGCAAACTTACTTTGACATTGACAAACTTACTTTGACATTGACAAACTTACTTTAACATAGAAAAACTTACTTTGACATTGGCAAACTTACTTTGACATTGACAAACTTACTTTGACATTGACAAACTTACTTTGACAGTTTTCTCCCGAGTATCCATTTCTACAGGAACATCTATAACCTTGTTGACTAGAAGGAAGTTCTGTACAGTCTCCATTATTTAAACATGGACTGAATGAACATCTTAATACTGAAATAAAATGTACATTTATATCTTACTTTTCTCTTCCAGTTTAGTCTAATGAAGATTGGCAACACCATGTAGTGTACAATGAGGAAATAAAGGACAGCGACATAAGTATACTCAGTGAATGCGACATTTGACTTTGATTAATGGTTAAACGGTTATATTAGTGTTGGTTCAATTATTGTATAATAATCAGTGACAACGACCATAGGGACTGGTTGAATCAACTTCATTGACCCCCATCCTTAAGCGAGCATTTGACAGACATTGAAAGCCATGTAATGGTTAACCTATACTTAATGTCATATAGAGGATATTAAACGTCGCTCGTTTGAGTGGCGCCGTCGGTCATGTCCGGCATATAGAGCCAAATTCACAGCCATGGGGCACCCACCCAAAGAAAAAAACTATTAAATTGAATTACAAAGTGTCTCAGAATGCCGGAGAGAATATGTTTAAAAATTTCCAGGGGAGGACCCCCAACCTACTTAAGCCTATAGGCCTCCAAACATCTAGTTGAACTCTAGTGATAATATTTTATTTTCATAAACACTGTTTCACACAACAATTAAGTTTTTAACTTGGCATGTATTACATGCTAAATTCTATAGTTATTGTGATAGGTGAAAAAATGCTGGCTGTCAATGGGGCCAAGATCATATCAGTAACACTGAAGATTAAAGAATTAAAGACAGACTATAAGATATATATACAATATATAAAAAACTGATATTATACAAAATACTTACAGGTTTCACAGTTAGTTCCAGTATATTGTGCATTACACTGACATTGGTAGGTAGATCCTGAAGCAATACAGTTTCCTCTAAATCCACATGGATTATTGACACAGGGATCAGCTCGGACTGAAAAAAATACAGGACGGTTCTAGAAAATGCTAGGGAATGACTTTTGATGGTTTTATAGAAAAGTCAAGTACGAGTGCACAATAATACTATAACTCAGAGATCTGAGCATGTCGCAGAAAAGGATGTCGAGTTGACAAATCCATTCATAGACAGACATAAAATGTTCTAGAAGAGTGATCATCTCCCGCTGACTGCTTTCATAGACAGAAACATACAGAAGATAAATTTCTCACTTTGACAAATATCTCCACTGTAACCTGCGAAACAATCACATCTGAAACCCCCTAGTCTTGTAGTATCCAAAACACATTGTCCTTGTCCAGACACACACTGACTGCTGGAGCATGGTGAAGCTGTAACAGATTGTTTAACATACCATTAGACCTAGATTTATTACTATAATCAAATAATCAATACATCCCCCCAAAAACGACGACATATTATATAATATTTATATAAACCGGTATATTATTCAACTCATCCGAATATTGTCAGAAGAAAATTGATATTAGAATGTTAAGTGGTTGAAGAAGTCTAGTCTTACACTAGTTTGAATTATGTGTCCTTTGGGAACGAATTTTAAATTTATTCTACTTTCAATTCTAAAATCGTGTTAGATGTATTCTCCGGCTTCCTAGATTAGTTCATTTTCAAGAGTGTTGTCCGTCAATGAAAACCTCGCTATATACTTCAGACAACAGAAATAAAGAAGTGATAACTTACTTTGACAATTGTTTCCAGAGTAACCATTGACACAGGCACATCTGAATCCACCAGTGAATGTTCCACTACTATCCACAATACACTGACCGTTATTCAAACATTGGTTAGTAATACAAGGACCTGAAAACAGTCAAACATTGGTTATTAACACAGGTACCTGAAACACAGTCAAACATGGGTTATTAACACAGGTACCTGAAACACAGTCGAACATGGGTTATTAACACAGGTACCTGAAACACAGTCAAACATGGGTTATTAACACAGGGACCTGAAACACCGGGACCTGAAACACAGTCAAACATGGGTTATTTACACGCCATTATTATGGCGAAATAAGTTCCCATTGTTATTAAGACAACCTGTTAACTTGTGGTGTTGTCTGAGAAAAGGGAATTATAAAGTCATGAAGTAAATCAGTTTTTTACGGATTACACCTGTAGATCATGTTATCTTGGTAAATTGATCAGAATAGCGTGTCACTATCGCACAATCATTTGGCTTGTTATAACATGTATAAGAAAAACATCGCAACATCCTATTTTCAAACAATTTGATATGAAGAAAGGTTACAAGTATAATTCCAATAATTGATAACGGTGAGTCAATATCCTAGAACAATAAATCAACTTACTCAATGTTTGGCATCTGTCACCGATATAATTATTGTTACATTGACAGATAAAAGATGTTGTTGTAGTTCCAGTGGGTTGACAAGTTCCACCATTCGCACAAGGATTAACAGAACAGGGGTTCGTGGATGCTAAAACACAAACAACATCTTAAACTTAATCAAATTAAATTTGAAAAGAAGAAAATTGGTTTTAAAAAAAGGACACTAAGATTACTTACTTTCACATCGAGTACCAGTGTATGCTGAGGGGCAGTTACATCTGTATCCAGCAAGAAGTGTTGAATCAAGTAAACAGGTTCCACCATTTTGACATCGAGTTACACTACACGGAGTAACTAAACAGTAAAGACATACATCAATAACAACGCTATCGTGACATGCAAGAGTTAATAACAAAGATGGCGCCAGAGTCAAGGTATGCTTACCCATCTAGACACCTGATACAAATTTTCATCATGAAATCCTTACTCAGTTATGATTGATGTACTTCATCATGCTACCAATGTTTCGCCAATATGACATGCAAGAGTTAATTACCGAGATAAACCACAACGGAGGTAAATATCAAAAAGTAGTTTACCATAGAGGATGACCAAAACAAGTAGAAATATTAGGAGTTTGTGTAGATTATGTACCATGAAAGAACTATTTTAATTTACCTTCGCAATTAGTGCCCGTGTAGCCATTTCGACAACTACAAGCATATCCACCAATAAGATTGATATTGGCAGTACACTGTCCTTGATATAAACACGGGTTACGGTCACAGGGTGAAACTGAAACATAAATATGATCAATTCGAAATGAAGTTGTCGCAAATAAAAACAAAAGAAGGAAATTAAATGCTCAAGGAATCTTACAAAAATGATAAATGCATTATTAATAATTTGTATCCGCGTAACTAGAAATGTACGACAATCTTTCAAAAATATCTCAGACTAGGAATTACTTTTCCTATTTCTATATAAGACAGTGCCTCAAGAAAAGACTTTTTAACTTTCGAACGCCTTTAATTCTGGACACACTTGAATTTGAACTCTATAACTGATTTACAATCTATTTGATTCGTCAAAAAATGTTATATCTGGTGTAATGAATATGATCAGCATCTCTTTTGGGGATCCAAATGGCGTTTATTCGGTATTTATTCATGATAGACATTTACCTTCACAGTTGTCTCCTGAAAATCCAGCTGGACATCGACAGAAGTAGGATGAACCACTAGGGAAACATGTGGCCCCATTTTGACAAGGACTGGGGTTGCAAGGAGATCTTATTTCACAGTTTGTTCCTGAAAATCCAGTTGGACATTGACAAGCGTAGCTTGTTCCGCTTGGACTGCAGGTTCCACCATTTTGACAAGGATTGGTGCTGCAGGGTAAAACATTTTGACACTCGTTTCCTGTAAATCCAGCTTGACATTGACAGAAGTAGGATGAACCACTCGGAAAACATGTTCCACCATTTTGACAAGGACTGGGGCTGCAAGAGGACCTTGTTTGACACTCGTTTCCTGAAAATCCAGCTAGACACTGACAAAAGTAGGATGTGCCACTCGGAAAACATGTGGCCCCATTTTGACAAGGACTGGGGTTGCAAGGAGATCTTATTTCACAGTTGGTTCCTGAAAATCCACTTGGACATTGACAAGCGTAGCTTGTTCCGCTAGGACTGCAGGTTCCACCATTTTGACAAGGATTGGTGCTGCAGGGTAAAACATTTTGACACTCGTTTCCTGTAAATCCAGCTTGACATTGACAGAAGTAGGATGAACCACTCGGAAAACATGTTCCACCATTTTGACAAGGACTGGGGCTGCAAGAGGACCTTGTTTGACACTCGTTTCCTGAAAATCCAGCTAGACACTGACAGAAATAGGATGTACCACTCGGAAAACATGTTCCACCATTTTGACAAGGACTGGGGCTGCAAGAGGACCTTGTTTGACACTCGTTTCCCGAAAACCCAGCCAGACATTGACAGAAGTAAGATGTACCACTTGGAAAACATGTTCCTCCATTTTGACAAGGACTTGGGTTGCAAGGTGTATTCACAATCCCTGAAAATTTAACAAAACAAAGTTATATTCACGTTTTCATTATCATGGAGATGATGGTAAGATTTCTTGCTAATGAGAAGGCGAACGTCATCATTTGTTTGAATGTATCTATATAGCTTCTAGGAGGTTCTGTCCGCCATTCCATCTAAAGCTTTGCACCAAAGTTAGTGTAGCGATAAGCGAACACAACAGGGGTCCAGTTTAACCTGTAATCGATTGTACAAAACATTGAAGATAAACGAAACTCACTGGTTTGACAGTTCACACCAGTAAATCCAGTAGGACACTGGCAGAGATATGAATCTCCGGATGGAAAACATGCTCCACCATTCTGACAGGGTAGAGATGTACATGATGATATTACTGAAAATACAACAAATCTCACTTACAGCAATATCGAATAGTAGGTCAGGGACAGATTCGCCACTACTGGTGGTTGATTCGGGTATTATGTAAATAGTAATCAAAAGTACTAACTTCGAAAAAACCTCAAACAAGCAATTTCACTTTATATTGTATACATGTATCTGGCTTTTCTATATATGATACAATCTCAACTCTATTCAACTTACAAACACGGATAATTCGCGACACACATATTATATTTGAAGGCTAAACATGTGACGATGAGTTGTGATCTGATACACATACTGAGGCTGCAAAGCTTACCTGTATCACAAGTTAGTCCAGTAAAACCAGTTGCACATTGACAGAAAAAATCACCATTGTTCAAATTAAAACATTGACCCTGGTTCCGACAGGGTCCACTATTACAAGCTTGATTTATGACTACAAAACATTATTCAAATTATTAATCAAAGTTAAATCAACAATTATGAAAGAGATTATGGAAGTTTCTTTTATTCCAGGCGTTTAATGTGATAGCACTGGTAGCATAGCAACGATTGTACCATTCCAATTTCAAACTTGTCTCGGTCCTGAGAGACACTCAAACAAACCGTTGGATGACCTAGCCACCGAAGAGGTTCTAAAATACTATTAGTAATCTTTGTAATAGTGACCTAGTAAACTGTTAAATATTTCTATAATAAGGCATACTCGTTTTGATTGAGTTTCTTGGTGGCCTACACCCCTTGATCTTGCTTTGAATTTAAGTTATGTTAGAACTTCTCAAAGAAAACAGTCTTAAGAGGAGACAAATTTTAAGAAAACCCAATGTAGCATGATGTTTCTGCGAATCACAATGTTAAGACATTACGAATTTCGTCTTATACCTTGACTTCAATAGCTATATTTCAATAGTTTGTAAATGCAGCCATTTGATTGGATTGTACGCAGCATTCTGGCTTACAATCAAATCAAATCACCGCATCTCTGATACAAGAAAGGTCGCTATTGCAGTCAAGGAATAAAACAGAGTGTGTAATAGCCTGACATTGAGAAGATGTGGCGAATCAGTCTGTGCAATAGAAGCAATATTAATACCTACCAACATCACAGTTGGTGCCTGAAAAACCCACAGGGCACTGGCAGAAATAACTATTTCCGTTAGGGAAACAGGTGGCTCCATTTTTACATGGTAATGTATTGCATTGGTTAGTGACTGAAAATAATAATATACAACATTTCCAAATATAAAAAGAGCTATATTAGTATTTATATCTGCCTCGCCAACAATTAATCAGTCTAAATAAGACAAAATTTTCGTTTCGTTTAATATTATGTACCAACTCCAGTTAGGGCTCAAAGACGCCTCTTTGGAAGACTTTGGAAGAGGGTAAAGAAAATGATTGACTGGCGAAACACATGACACCAACAATGGGAGGTGTCTTTACAAGGCGAAGCACGAAGGGTCAAAGGCTCTTGAGGACGGTGCTCCTGGGGATATACAAAAGCCAGGGCACTGTGATTTAATATTTCTATATACTGTTGTGAAGATGAGAACTATAGAAAGGTTAAAAAACGTACCAGTTTGACAGTTAATTCCAGAATATCCAGCAGGGCACTGACAGAAGTAGCTGTTACCGTTAGGGAAACAGTTTCCACCATTCTGACACGGACTGGGGTTACATACTGTATCAGCTACAAAAACAATTAAAATTTAATTTAAGGGATTGTAAAAAAGTTTTCAATTTTTTTATGTGTATTAGGGACACTGTTGGCATCTATTTGCAATTCTTGCAACTCCATTACATAAAGTCACGATCTCAAAGGTTCTCATATATCATTAGCAGCTTCTGTGATAGGTTTGGTGGAATTGCAGGAAGCACAGACGTCTGACTTAAACTTGGAAAGATTGAAATCGAAGATAACAAATTTAGAAAACCTCTTAACAATCTAAATTAACTTAGTCTTAAAATGTGTGACAAAATCATTTTAAGACAATCAAAATTTACAACAGTCTAGCACTGATCTCAGATCGATGAGTTGTTGACATTTAAATATGAAAGAGTCTTAAGAGTGCAATTAACAACTGAACGAGTTTGATAACACAATCTAAATACATTCCTTTTTAATCAACGCTTCATCACGTATTGCTATACGTGTCGGAGACACTTCCGACTTCCAATCAAACCTCAAGATAACATGCAAAAATCTTGGGAGCAAGAGAGGGGTGGATTTCTCAATTTTATATCATGGCTTGGCAGTGTGAGCACTCCCGTTCTATCATAGTAATTATGTAACTATTATTTGACTTACAGATTTGACAAGTAGGACCAGAAAAACCAGTAGGACATCTACAGATAAACGATGTTCCAGAAACTACACATTCACCGTTATTTAAACATGGGTTAACACTACATGCATTGTTTGGTGAGGCTGAAGAAGAGAAAGATACAGAAAGACATTATTTAGATTAAACTTCTGAGTCTATCAGGTGGCCCTCGATGAGATGACTGACAGGATAATCGATGCCAATTTACAGTATGGTCGTTCAGCGCTTCGCAGAACAAAAAAAACTTCCAATAGCTTGTAATAGAATTTTGGTTCAACTTTTGTAAAAGTATTTACGTATAACTAAACTCTGGTTTTCGACTTTCTATTTTAGATCTTGCAGAACTTGCTTAGTTAGATATTAAATGCAGTTACTCACTTTGACATCTTTCCCCCGAAAACCCATTCTGACAGATACATCTGAAAGCGTCTGTAATGGGATTTAGTGGTGACAGGCACACACCATTATTAAAACAGGGTCCGCTAGCACATCCATTGAAAACTATCAAAAAAAAAAACAATGTACAGTTTTGTAATAGGACGAGAAAGCAGGCCGAAACATATCAATTAATTAGGAAACAAAAAAAATTGATGGGATATTATTCCAACAGCTGTCAGTTCAGAAATAGCTGATGCTTGTCGTTCAGTTAGGGTTCATTTTTGCCATAGATTAATATCGAGTCTTCGTTCAGTCAATAGTGGGGACAGTAGAGATTTATCCTTGTGTGATTCATGCTGTACACATTAAAGATCATTTATCAGCAATTCTCCTGAAAACCCCCAGTTTCTCTGTCAGTTATGCAGGTCGAGGAAAGGGGTCTGGTCGTTCGTTTGGGACAAAAATCCGAGGACTGTGTGCCACAGACTGGCCACGTCAACAGGTGGAAATCGAAATAAGAGTAAGCTAATATCACTGTCCTGGCAAAATTTCACACTGCATGGTGTTGCCCGTGGTGCAGAGAAGTAGGCTTTAGAACTCCATTCATTTAATTTCTTTTTTGCAATACAAGATGAGGTCGTGTAGTTTTCTTAGTTCTGGGCGTTCACTAAAATACTTACTGTTACATGTAGTTCCAGTAAAACCGGCGGCACAAGTACAGGTAAAACCATTCACGTTTAGAGTATTGGCTGAGCAGCTTCCAGAATTCTCACATGGGTTGTTGTTGCAAATATTGTTATCTGGAAACAGTATGATTATTATTGTTACTGTTATATATATTGTTCACTTAAACTTGTTATTGATGTCACCTGACTAAATATATTATAATGATGTTTTATTTGTGTATTATTATTATTTATGCTGGTTAAAGATTCCTGTGTGGTTTTCTTTTTAATTTAAAAGAATGTCGGCATGCAACCTTTCTGGAACTATCCCTGTAAACTATATGTTTATACCTGAACCATAAGAATAATATGTATAATGTATACCTTAGCTTTGAGATCGGACGGCGAGAAAAATACACTGAGTGTACTACTGCAAGTCGAAAAATAGAAAGATGTAATTCCTGCAATGAAAATAGTTACAGAGAAAAGCAGAGAGAACTAGTCTATTACTAGAGGAGAAGTTCCATACCCTGGCTACATCGATACAACTCAAATGGTGGAGAAATGAAAAAAGCAAAATAAAGGAGAAGAAGAAATTGGTGCTGCTGTAGTGAGATCTAGAGTGCAGATAAAAGTTTTGTAGTTTAATTCTCTTACTGTTTTCACATCGTGTTCCAGAGATTCCAAACGGACATTGACAAAAGAAGGATAGGCCTGATGATATGCACGTGCCTCCATTTAAACATGTACTGCTCGTGCATTGCTCTACAAATTAACAGAAAAACATTCATTACATCAAGTAACTGTGTTTCTTTACCTCAACATAAAACATCAAATTTGATCCATCTTCATCTGTTTTTGGGATATCAACATCGGAAAACAATCGTCGACACCGATATTAGGTCACGAGATAATGTGCACGTGATTTGAAAAAAATGAACGTGACGGGAAATTCAGAGGCGTTTTGTTTAAACCGGGAAGTTATAGATTATGAAAATTTGGTTGATTTAAAACCCTCGTATCTTGTTGTTTCAAAACAGTCCATGTGTTGTTGTTTTTGTTTCCATGGTAACTTACTGACAGCCTGGTTACACAGAGTGCCCGTGAATCCATTGGGACAAACACAGGTAAAACCCGTGACTAGGGGAGAGAAGGTACAAGTCGAACCAGCGGCACAATCGTTGAGGAAACAAGGATCTGAAATCAAACAATAAGGTAAAATATCAATATTGATCTTGAAATATCAGGATTTATTTTGTGGGATTCGAGAGATTTTGGACAATGATTTGAGTTAAACTTAAACTGTATATGTCAAAAATAACTTAAAATTACAAGTCGGGATCAATATTACTAAAATCGTATTGTCAATGGGCGATAAAGCATCCTTCTTTGTTAACACCAGAAAACATTGTCATTGTCTCGTCCAAATTGTTCATGTACATAGTTAGATAGTTACTGTTTACTGTAACAAGGTTCCAGTTGGTGGTTTGTCATATAATCGATAAAGTCAGATTGAAAATAGAAAACTATTCAAACCGTTTTTCAGAAAACCAGAGATGTATCATCCTATTCTGTATTTCAAAAACACACATCTAAGCTTAAATCAGTTAACACTTACAATCTTTTACTAATACGACGATTACTAATTTGACTATTTCTTACAAAACAAAACCAAATACCTAGTTTTCAAAACACCAAAGAATCTCATTATACTTGTGTTCGAAAATATATAACACACGGTTAAACACTCACAACAAAGATGTTACCTTCAGTTAGTTAGTTAATCACCAAAAAGACATCTTCACAATGTCAAGCTATTATGAACGTCGTTTTACACCTTGACTGCAATAGTCACTATTTGTATATGACAGAATGCACCAATTTGAGTGGATTGGAGCGATTACAGCCAATCAGAAACAGTAAGTCTGTAAATAAATCTAATTGACTGTATTCTCTAGCATACAACCCAAAAGGAAAAAGGAAAAATTTCACTGCATTTACAAACTTCCGTGATATATGAAATGTGGCTATTACAGTCAAGGTGTAAGAGGAAGTTTGTAATAGCTTGACATAGTGAAGATGCCGAAAAGAATGTCTTGCATTTTCCAGACCAAAAACTAAATTATTGACAAAAATTCACTACAAAACACGATGTTACCTCTTAGATAGTTAGTCTGTATTACCTATAGATTCTGATGAACTAGACTATATATTAGGTATGACAATAACACTATGGTTAACAGTTCTCCTCAAGAGATATAACATGTTACCTCTGAAGATGGTCTATTTTACCAGAACATTTACAGCAGGGGTTTTCAACCTGTGGGTAAGTAACCCCAAGGGAGTAATTTTGTCAATTTTTAGGCGGCTAATGAGGCGCTTTGTAGTCGGGCATAAAATTGTTGCAGAATTATAATTTAAAGTCGTTTTATTCAGTCAGGCTTATTTCAGAGAAAACCAAAGAGAAAATCAATAATAAGGATTTATAAGGGGGACGGGGGTAATGCAATTGATTTAAAATCCCGAAAGCGGTCATAGAAAGAAAAAGTTTGAAAACCCCTGCATCTCAGACATCTAATTTCAAGGACTGTACTAAATTTGACAATAAACAGTTTGATATGTTTATCAAAATTTCACAGGACTGAACATATTATACAACATCTTGGACTGAGGGTGAGAGTGAGAACTACTCGAGAATCAACAACTCAAGTCTGGTTAGTAATACACAACACTTACAAGACTATGACTACAAAACACAGTGTTAAACAATTCTACTAGTAGACTTCATCTGGAAGGTTAATCTCTCTTACCAATCAAGACATAACCTTTCAACATATACTTGAACACACCGACACAACAACTGTTAGTCTCTCATACCAATCATGTTCTAAACTTTGTTTTGTAAAAGCTAAACACCAATTTGAACACATGAACACAACAACTACTGTTAGATTTTCATACCAACTAAAACAAACACCTCAAAGATTTCAGATCAGTTTAAAGAAATGATGCAAGATCAGGCCACAGACACACTGTTTGACACAAATGTTAGTTTTTCGAATCAGCCAAAACAAGGCCTTGACTTTGTGAAGCTATAAACTATTCTAAAATGAGCTACTAACAAATCATTTGAAATATCACCACATGATCTCAAGTTAGTCTTTTATGCAGCGAAGTCAAAAGTGTTTCAGATTTCCAGACAGCTACTTGAACTCGGCGAAAACAAACTGTTATTCAGACACACTTACAAGACCAGCACAACCTTACAAGCTTACATACTGCACAGTGCGATTTCTCTCACTTTAGTGTTTGTGTGAGAGAATTTGGTCAAAAGGTTTGCGTCCAGATGGGATCAATCTGCAATGTTTAAATGGACAATACTAGTACTTGTTATTGTTATTAATGAGATAGTCCCTAACTCTTTACAAACTGTATTACATTGTCGTGAATCGTCTACCATTCTATTGTTAGTAAGACTGGAATAGTTAGGTTGTTAGAAAGAATGCATCGTCTCAAACTGTCCTAGAGGGTCCACATGACAAATGGATACCTATTAGGATACATTTAGTATAAAAATATGTATGCCAATACAGAGCTAAACACTGGCTTTTTCCAACAAAAACTCAAGACACTTTAGGAAATGAAGAAGTTAACAAATATGGTTATCTTTAATATCGTCAGAATCTTCAAATTTTAAAGATTGTAGACTCTCTGAAACCGACTGAGACGTCAAACATTTCTACTAAACACATAAACTATAGGACTAACAAGAGTTGGAATTAATTCTACAAAGATTACTCACAAAATACCCATTTCTACACGTTATTACCTTAAGCATACCTTTCATGCGTTGGTTATACCTTCTCGTAAGCTCGTCTGTTCCAAAGCTGTCGTAGACCATGCAGATACTATGTCAAGGGGCACCGGAAACACAGGCAGCATAAAGGGGCGCACTGGCAAGAACTTGGAATTGGGCTTCATTGAGCTGACATTGGTTGCCGGTGTCTCTGACTATATCATGTCATGTGTAGGCGTATTAGAAGCAAGATTTAAAATCCATTCACACCCAAGGCTCGCCTTTTCATCAAATGCAAGGTTCTAGTTAATTGGTTTTTGTATATACACATCAGATAAAAGAGGTCGATAGACCAAACGAATGAGATCCCCAAACCTTGCATTAGAAGAATGATTGCCAACGAACAAGAATACAACTACTATACTTACCTTTAATATTATAAATATATTAAATAGCCTTGATACAATACCTGATAGTCCAGAGATCTATTCCTCGAAATCTCTTAACTATCTCCAAACCATCGCGATTATTATATAATATTGGCCAAAATGGACGCAATACATGTTCGATTACAGGACTATAATATTAAAATGAATCCTTAAGGCTATATCTTATACCCAGTGAAATAATTTCAAAAATCCGATGCCATGTGTTTGATATCCCTGGATTTAAAAGATTTAAAGAATTGCAATGTCTGAAAGATATTGTGTTAATTCAGGATTTCGAGGAACAGATTCAGGGCTGTATAGAAGCAGTTATTGATAATATATGTATATATAGGGAAAGCTTGGCTTCATTTTAATAAATACTTATTTTACCTACCTGTAAGCATTTATTTAAGCATATAATAATGAATGGGCGAAAAAAATATGGAACTGACAAATAAATAAATGAATGAGTTAATGACGGACTCGTTGATCAAGACTTACTAACTGACTGGTTGAACTAACATGATCTAATCTAATCTACTTCCACAATACCTGGAGTTATTTGTGAGGGGTGCATGCAGATTAACAACATTGAATACAGCCGGTAGCGGGTTTGGCAGAATGTGGTTGCAGAGTTGGCAGAATTTGGTTGCAGAGTTGGAGGAGTACAATATTTGGAAAGAAGGCTAGTAAAAATCTTAGAAAAAACATGGATTATTCATATATCAGAACATTTCGTGCAAAACAAAGATATATTTGATAATAATGCTTCAAGAATTCCATTAGATTATATACAGTATATTATATATTCGTGCAAAATCTAGAAAATAGGAGAGCAATAATGACGTTCATGACGTTTGTTTTTTGTATGATCAAGTTATTTAATGAGTTTATGGTATTTTGGAGTAAGAAATAATTCTATAATAAGATCACATCATTAGATGTTATTATAAATGACAATCTATAGGGAATGAAGGGAAATGTGAAATTGAAAGCTTACCAAACTGACAGTAAGTTCCTGTATAGCCTCTAGGGCACTGACAATCGTAACCTCCAAATGGATTGGCGTTACAGATTCCCCCGTTTTGACAGTTGTTGTTATTACACGGGTCTGTACCTGGAAAAATATTGAGTTTATTTTTTCATTTATAAGTTTTTTTTTCAAAGTCAATGATTTAATAAGAACAAATTGCATAACAAACAACTTTCAAGTATATATATTCAATATGAAATTCAAATTCAAAGTATTTTAGTATATAGTATAGAAATATAAATATTAAAACATATTAGTATATAGTACATATAGTAGGCCTACATATATTGTATATATGGTACTGTTACAGTAGGCCTATATATATTATATATAGTACTGTATATATAGTATATAGTATAGTACTGTATAATATAGTATGTGATATAGTACTGAATATATAGTATATAATATAGTACTGTATATATAGTATATAATATAGTACTGTATATATAGTATAGTATATATTGTATATATAGTATAGTAAACTTGGGTACTGTATATATAGTATAGTAGATATAGTAAAGTAAATATAGAACTGTATATATAGTATATATAGTACTGAATATATAGTATATATAGTACTATATATATAGTACTGTATATATAGTATATATAGTACTGTATATATAGTACTGTATATATAGTATATATAGTACTGAATATATAGTATATATAGTACTGTATATATAGTACTGTATATATAGTACTGTATATATAGTATATATAGTACTGTATATATAGTACTGTATATATAGTATATTTAGTACTGTGTATATAAGACTGTATATATAGTTTATATTGTACTGAATATATAGTATATACATAGAGACCTTCGATGGATAATTTCTAAATGAAGTTAATGAACGATATTTTGAATCATGGGAACTGACCTTGTTGGCAATAATCACCAGTATATCCAGTACGACATGCGCAGTAATAACCAACAGTTTGTCTGAAACATGTAGCACCGTTGGTACATCTGTTGCCAGCACAGTTATCTATAAAATACAATATAATATAATAGACATACATATTTAAATGTATACCATGTAGAAACTCTGAAAGAGAAGCCGAACTCAATCATAGAGAGGTGTCAGTCATTCAAAAAGAGCATGTCCTTTCTCTCTGGCGACACGTCAGCCACATCGTGATAAAGGTTATCCGATAAACAGCTTCCGCTTCAGCTTCAGTGCTATAGTATCCTCAACACAATGCTGTGAATCGGTAAAACTTAAAAAAAACTCAATCAAATTTATGAAGTAAGTAATTTTTCAGATAGTCCATGCAACAATAAAATATCCGATCCAGTTTTCCTCTGATCACAAATACACAATGTAAAACGTGGGTTTCCGATAAGAAGTTGCTTACCTATTTGACAATAAGGTCCAGAGAAACCAAAAGGACACGAGCAAGTATAATTAGTTGGACCGTTTAAACAGGTCGCACCAGTATTACAAATATTATTAACACAGTAGTCTATCTGGCCGGCTGAAATCATAAAACATTCGGTGAAAATTCAAAAATGAAAATAAAATCAAAAATACATGGAGAAAGCCGAAATTCTGAAGTTCAAATTCCAACAAATCAAAAACCAACAACATAGAAAATGAAATATGCAATGCTTCTAATTGTTGTTATGGGTCATTCAAATTATGAATGACAAAGCAAGGTGTCTTCAGAGAGCGACAAGAAATCAAACCCAAAGCATGTAAATAACGGGCATGATTTTATCAGTGCATTTTGAAGGCAAAACTATAAAAAATCAACTTACTGCTTTCACAGAACTCTCCTGTAAAACCTAGAGGACAATTGCAGGAATATTGTCTATCACCATCACTAATACAAGTAGCACCGTTTAGACAGGCGTTATTCTCACATGATGTTATTCCTGCAAATATAAGGTAAAGCTACAGACTACATTCGTATTTAAACTGAGGGTCATTTAATGGATTTGTCTCCCTTTAGTCATTTACAATTTTCAATTTTAAAGATGATGGCTGCCAATAGATGAAGATGACTGTGAATTCAGCTCAAGCGTGCTGCAAATGAAAGTAAAAACTTTTTATTGATCAATTCTTCAGTTTTCTAAAGCTTTGCAAACAAGTCGGGATTTATGGGTCTAAATAACTAACTGAGAAATCAGAAATCAAATCAAAATTATTAAATGTTATTGCCTCCCTTTGCTAATAATAATGAATATAACTTACTGGTCTGACAGACATCGCCTGTATAGCTTGGTGGACACTGACAAAAGAAATTACTGACGGATTGTCTGATACATGATCCACCATTCTGACACGTGCTTTTATCACATACATCTATAATAATATATACAGAATTCAAATTAGCCGGTGTTTGGTTGCACTGGAACATTTACATTAGTCCCTTCAAATAATAAATCTGACTCACCATTGAGTAAATTTAGTTAGTTTGTTTTATAAAGACGAAAAAGTCTTATATACTAATTACGCTAAATAACTTTTATTATATTTCCGATGATGACGTCACAAGGATTTCTGGAACTTTAGAAACCACAGAATCGGACGGTGATGCAACTAGAAGCTATAAATATTCCCTATAAACATACTTAGACAAGAACAAATATGTTCAATCTCCTTAAGCGTTATGCAATTGTCGATCTTCATTTAGGTACATAAACCATTACAATCAGAATATGTCTTCTACTCACCGTTTTCACACAAATCTCCAGAAAATCCAAACTGACAAACACAGGCATAGCCCAACTCTTCCGATACACATAATGCATTATTCTGACACTGGTGATTCAGACAATAGTCTATAGTTCCTTCAAATTCACAGAAAATACCAAAGAATCCTGGCCTACACCTACAGATAAAAGTATCGACACCATTCTCACATATACCGCCATTTTCACATGGTTGACCTCGACAGAAATCTACTTCTGGTGGTGGCGTTGTTGGCGTTACTGGTTTCACGGGTAGTAAATCTGAATAAAACATGGCAGTATGAATAATTTAGCCTTTGGATGGAGCGAATTCAATAATCATACAAATAATACAAATTATAACTTCGAATTCAAACAGATACATATACATTGTTCTAGAAACTAGCTTTACCAGCTGACAGAAATCAAACTTAGCTACCCGTATCACTTTTCAGACCAAAAATTCAACAATCGACAGTTCTACCATTCAATAATAGCGAACCGATAGTAGCCAACGGAATTGACAATAGTTTAATTCGCTGGTCATTGACATTCTAGTAGCTAATACCGACATTATCAAGTCCATGCTTTCATAGTCATCTGGCGATTGGTTTGTAGGCGAACATTGGATTTAAATTAAAAGTGATACAGGTATCGCTATAGGTAGGCCTATCTTGCATTCAATTCTATCAGCTGAATAACTACATTTATTTTACATGCTACTATCAAAATCGCATTAATTTCATCATCTATTCATTATCTATTTATTGATAAGTATCACTTTGACAATCAGATAAAAAATTCGATCATATTCAAACATGCACCGCCTTTAACACTAACACATGCTGAACATAATTGGTTAGACCATGCAGGGACAAACATGCACAAGGGCTCAAATTTTAACCTTACATTGAATTTGAAAAATTAAAAGCAACATACCTTTTATAAATCACCATTGAAGCATACATAACATGGGAAAATGGGAGAGCGTTACACATATATGGGATTTGCATGATATAATATTATAGGAAATGGGGAAAATAAATTTAGGCATGGCTACCAAAATAATTCAAGGAACAAAACGGTGGCATTATAAATACATGTATGTAAGACTGGGAAAATCATTAGATTACCAAATACAATGTGGGAAATGAAATGAATGGCATAAATCAGATGATAATTTATGGATCGAAAATTGGAAAAATACACACTTGTTTAAGGAAATAGCATTATGGGACATACAATTACATGCAAGTATTAATCCAAAATACATGCAAATCTACATCAACCTCGGCAAATAAAAAATAAACAAAATACGACGATACATACAGGCTGTTTATTAGAAAATAATGTACAATAAAACACAATTAAAGCAAAAACAAACACAAACATAACAGGATAAAAAAGACAATGGTTTTCATATTTCTTGATCCCTAGGACGGATTTCGTGATTCAAACAAGATATCTATGATGTAGGGCTGTGTACATCGAGCGAATCAGTCTCGTTTGATTCGACGAACAGTGGTTGGTATAGATCTTATGAACCATCTGGTTCGTGGTACTAATCAGGATGCTAAATCTCAAACAATTTGGCCATTATAGGCTACTGCTAATGTCGTTGTTTGCACGAAGGATTATTTGCATACCTATTATCTGAGCAAAGTAAAAAGGTTTTTTGAATTTTTTCTATTACTTTGATGAGAATTAGAATAGCAGCCTCAAAATTGTAGGCTACTGTTTGTCTGAGCACATCATTATGTCCAAATTTGCTTTTAAAGAGGCTCATCATCAGCTAAAATTTGTGACTTTTTGGGGTTGAAATTTCTAGGAGGGAAACGCAAAGACATTCTAAGACTAACAGTACTATTTTGAGGCTGATATTCCAATTCTCTTAAAAATATCGAAATAAATCATTTTTTGTTAATTTGCTCAGTCAATAGAGGTTTGGTAATTTGATTAATTAAAGATATGAAAAACTTACCAGAAATTTCACAATCGTTACCAGAGAATCCAGCCAAACAAGTACATACGTATCCAGTGACAGTGTTTCTACAGTTTCCACCATTTTGACAGGGGAAGGCACTGCAGGAACTACCGACAACTATAATAAAAGAATGGAATCACATTTCTATACTAGTAGTCATCCAACATGAAAAGATCACATTCCAAGAAGTTTACATTTTATACCAAGAAATTTATATCAAGTACCAAGAAGTTTACATTTTATAACAAGAAATTTATATCAAGTACCAAGAAGTTTACATTTTATACCAAGAAATTTATATCAAGTACCAAGAAGTTTACATTTTATACCTAGAAATTTATATCAAGTACCAAGAAGTTTACATTTTATAACAAAAAATTTATATCAAGTACCAAGAAGTTTACATTTTATACCTAGAAATGCATATTATATACCAAAATCAACAATAACTATCACAGGCAAGTTAAGATAAGAAAGGCTTCTAGTCTAGGTAAGAGTAACAAGTTTTCAGGGGCAGCATCTGTCAACTATATCTATCAGAGGCAAGATAAGATTCGACATGTTGTGGAATATCAATAAGAATACTCACTGTTTTGGCAATTATTTCCACTTGTTCCAGTTGGACAACTACAGACGTAACCACTGAATATATCATTGGTACACACTCCACCGTTCTGACACGGGCTGCTAAAACATCTATCAGTCAAACCTAAAATATATATTAGGATACAATTAACATAAAAATAAAATAAATTATAGTAGATATCATTAAATAACACATTTTTTAACTGAGCCACAAGAACATTGATGGCATCAATATCTGGATGTCATTATTAATCTAGGAATTTAGACTCTCGTCATTTCCGTTTGGTTTCTGTTAAAGATGGGTTTCCTTATTTTTTAGTGTCAAATTAAGCAAACTATTTGATTAATTAGTGTTTCTAATCAATTATCATGTATTCTTAATCATATCATGATGTTCTTATTGAATATAATAAGGCGTTTTAAAGTCTGGATGAACAAAAAAAGACTTTTTGACCTTTCTTGATTGGTCACTCAAAGGAATTCTGCTGTTCATTCTCTTCTAATTTAGCTAATTATGTATTAATTATGTACAGACAAACTGGTGTTATTCTAATTCATTAGAACACCTCTACTTTCTATTTATAAAAGTATTAGCATTTTCATTTTCATTTTCATAAATGAAAATAAGGGAACCCATCTTCAATTATAGACCAAATCGGATTTATTAGTGATTCATACAGTAAATAAGACTCATCACGCTGACCGACCTTCAGACAACTGAATTTTTTCAGCCTCTAATTCTAGTTTTTTTTATTTTCTAAACTTGAGGGAAAAAATAAAAGACATGACTTACCAAATTGACATCTGTCACCAAACGTTGGTTCAATACATTGACACTGAGCCTGGTTATTGAAACCTACAGAACAACTACCACTGTTCTCACATGGACTGGGACTACACGAGGTCGACCCACCAGCTGAAACGTACATCAAATACATCAAATACAAGCAAAAGAAGGAATAAAGTCGCACGACACCAATACAAGACTGGAAGTAGCCATTTTAAACAGGAATAATCACACAGGATCAGATGGTGCAGACAATGACCAAGTCAATTGGGATTGATCTTTGCCGGATTATCCATAGGTGTTCACTGATATATTGTAGAATGTATTCAATCACTGAAGTTTCAAACACCGTTCAGTTTCAAATTCACAAACTTACTGCAGTGAACGTTTCTTTGGCATTTATTTTACAGAGAACCATCTTTGATCCAAATTTTGGCAATTTCGATCTAAATTTCTCCGAGGCAAGTATAATATCAATATAATATCAATTTTTATCACATTATTCTCAGATTATAAGTTCTGTTTTGATGCTGATATTCTAATTAACATGAATTAAGAATACAAGTTTAAAACATAATAAAAACTTACCACAGTTAACGTTTCCAGGATAATCACAGACACTAACTGCAACATTAAATAACAAATTTCCAGGACAAGTAAATGATGATGTGACTCCATTAGCACATCGGTAAAATTTGGCACAATCCTGAGAATCTACCCAAAAATCTCCATTAGCTCTAGTTCCACAATTCTGGGCTCGAGTGAATGGTGTTGCAAGCAGTACTGAAACAATAAAAATAACGTATGAATATACATGCTAATCAAAACGAAAATCTTAACTTAATCAGAATAAAGCAATTAAAAAATAATCGCCAAAAACAGCGAATATCTTTCTGAACGGGATAACAGTTTCTTATCAGACTGCAAACACCCAGAACAATTGCTAAACTTTTCAAAGTTGTTATCTAAACGTTTTATGTCTATGAGGACATTGACAGCATCGATTTGCACCATGCTTATTTTATATGGTTTTAAAATGCTTGCCAGGACGAAAATGAGGAACTGAAAGGCCAGTTCAATTCTAATACTCTGTCACTTTATTTTACGATTTAATATCGACGAATTCTAGACTCAGTCTGACTAATATGATACAAGTATTTGGAAATGATTTCTGATTGAAACATGCAAGGGGATTGTCCAGTCATTGAAAGTCACGATCTGTTTTGTCAATTTCATGGCTTGACTCCCGAGCAATTTATGCTTATCATAACATCAAATATATAATCAAAGTAGGAGAGAGATGTAGACTACAAGCAAAATCAAATAAAATACTGAAAGGATTTTGAGAGAAAAAGAAAAGTGTTTGAGTCAGAATATTTGAACAACTCGCCCTGTTTTCAAATGTCCCCCATTGTCCCATATGTTGATATACTGACTACGTCTTTCTCGTTTTGTCAATATGTAGAGATCCTTAACAGACCCTCAAATTAGGAGTTTACGCCTGAAGATGTAAAAATCGTGACCCGTTTTAACAGTCACGACGTTAACAAACATTCTAACTCCCGTAATTCTGAAAGGGAGGGGGAGATAAATGTGCCTTATTCAAAATAGAATGAAAGTATTTTGATACCGTTGTAGGTCTATTTCAGGTAACTGAACTGAACTATTGACTGTACAACTAAACCCATTTTTCCTCCCGACCGTTGACACTTCATCTACTTTAAGATGCGTAGTAAGTAGAGGCCAGAACATAATTGGATTGACTCATTTAGCGATGATACCCGAATTTACCATCATGGATGAACCAGATGACTTAATGACTAAGTTGGATTCAGTATGAGACATTAAGTTAATTCTTTCTTTTCCTTAATGCCTCAACAGACGATTTTTCGTCCATAGATGCCAGGGTTTGTTTGACCTTACGCAGCTTCAATGATTGTAAATGCAACATAAGTATAACGAGCCAGACAAAGCTTATTTCTACAAAACCTGATCCTACTGTTAGGCCGGGCTTCTCAACTCGACAATACTTTAAATAAGTCTATATATTTCTTTGTTATGGCTATCAGTGTACTTGCATCGTGATCCAAAGAATATTACTTTGCATTCTGATTGCAGCATAGACCAATCCCTCAAATTTAAAGAATAATGTATCTGAAGAAATTTTGAAAATTACATATTAGTTATCAAATTGTATATAATTATCAAACACTAATAACGCCGAACCTTAATTTGAACATATTTATTACTACATATATTCATTTCAACCACAAATACTCCTTGACTAAATTTAAAAATGATTTCATATATTTAGAAAGGGTGGCGACCATTTATACTTTACAATAGAGAGAGTTTTTCTACGTGAAGTTGAAGTATGTCTTGAGTTATGAACTGTTAATATTTGTGTTAATTTTTACAATCTGAACCAAGTGCCTTGTGCATGTCATTAAATATATGGAGATGTCTGTTCGAATTGAGCAAATTGTCGTACGATGCATTGGACTTTGTTACTTTACTCCTTTTTTTTGTTCAAGTTGGTCTAGGGTTATGATTCTATTTCGTTGTTTGGGCTGACACATGGTTAATTAGGTTGTCGTTTACAATAAGAAGTAATTTCATGAACTTAAAATTATGGTGGTGAATTTTAGAATGAAGCAACTATTAACATTGGCACCAAACACTAAGATGTTCGTTTACAATTAGATGTAATTCCTTTATTGATTTAAAAATAAATTAAAAAGTATGGTTGTGACCTGAGTAAAGCATGTAACTGATTCCAAAAACTGTTTTGCATTTGAGTTGCATTAGATGTCTCTAGCGATGGGCGATAGGGACATTAACTCACAAAACCCTTACCACCTTAAGGACATGAGGTTTTGTTTTAAAATACAACCTAGGCATTGATCACATACCTTTCCAGAACACCTGGTTTAATATACCTACAATGACCTTGGTACTGCATGTGGTCAAAACATATTGACACCAAATCAATTGTTACTCCTTAGTTAGTTGAATGTTCAAATGTAACCAGATACAGAACAATAGACAATCAAGTTGAAAAGAAATTCCAGGCAATCCGAGTGACATGACATGAGAGATATGGTAGAATATGGTAGAAATGAGTAAGGAATTAAGGTAGACTAAACAGTGAATACTATCAAATATTGACCAACTGTAGGTTACTGTGAACTGATATACCACGGGCACCTGTCCTTACATTCTATTTAACACACTAGATAGCCAAAATTTTATCACGATTGTCCTATGTATGTATTAATACTGACAGCATACGTCAATTATAATTCAGCATTCTTTTTATTTCCTTTTTAAGTTCCCAAATTCAAATAGAGAACAAATCAAATGGTTAAAACTCTGCATATTTACCTCAAACTTTATTTCATTTTATTTTCATTAATCTTTTTTTCATTTATTTCAAATGAGGTCCATAGCTTCAGACTCGTAAAAGTAACTTATTATGTGGAAATTTTATGCCATAGTGAAGGTATATAACAATTTACGACAAAGAACAGATTCTCATTATATTGGTAATTATACAGTAATCTCTTACTACTGTTTGTAAGAATATAAAAAAATGCGCATTTCTTTCGCAAATATACAGTAATTGTCCAACTGTGTATAATAATTGTATTAAAATGTAACACATTGGAAGAGTATAACAATGTAAACATTATAAAAGTGTAACAATGTATAAGAAAATATATCATTGACTACAGATTTATTTGCCAACACTAGAGTATTTATTATTAATCATTCACTGTATCATCCCCATGGTCTGAAAGTTAAACAGGGCCATGTCCTTGTATATTGGACCTAATTTAGACCCGTGTAAAATATAGAGTTTAGAATTATTATTATTGTTATATTCGCCATTATATACTATTCATTCAACTGTGTATAATATATGTACTTAAAATGTAACAATTTGTAAGAATATATAGCAATGTCAAAAGTACAATGTATAAGATTGTATATATAAGGAGGTAAAACTGACCAGTTCTGTTTAAACAATGGTAAGAAGCAAGTAAAGAAATCAAGTCGTATAAAAAGAGGGTGGAAAGCAAACATGGACACTGTCCAGTACTTTATTTAAAGTGATGTTTAATAGTGGTCAAATACATCTCGACCCATTTAAACCTTCATCAGATATTTGTGTATCTTTTTTTATTGTCGCAATTTCCTTGTGATCTTCTTGAGTTGGAAGCCGTGATGGGTATCGTCAATCATGTCATGATACAATACGTATCGCGATACAAGTGTCACGATACGATACATATCGCGATATGGGGTAATGGGATAAAAATTAACATTTTATCTTT